TTTAATATTTTATTTTGATATTTATCTTAATGTATTTGCTTCAACCATAGATATTAAATAGTTGTTAATTAAATATATCTAATTGCCACATGTTATTTTCTAAATGGACACTGAAGTGGTTAAATTCATAACTCATGTTTGATATTTTATTGTGCATGATTGCATAATGTATTTTTACATTCTGAAAGATGAAATATCAAAATACCTCATTTCATAACTCTATTATAATTAAAAATTACTATTTTGGAGTATAAAAATGGTGGTTAAATGTTTTGATAGCTCATTTAATAATCCCACTCGAAGTGCTCTTGCCGTAAATAGTTTATATTAATAATTCCCCTAATGTTTGTTTTCGTCTTACACCGACCCCCTTATGGTATGATTTTTCAAGGAATTTTTTTATTACGTGGAATTTTCCAATAATGCTTATTATATACACCCTGCACACACGACATTTCTTTATGGTACTTTTTAAAGACAAAAATTACCCTCAGGTGAACTTTACACGAAATCTTTATTCTTCTTAAATAACACTTTCACAAATTTTTATTATTACCATGACAACCCTGAGGGTAATTTTTTAGTTTAAAAAGTACGATAAAAGAAATGTCACGTCTGCAAGGGTAGACTCCATATTTTTTGGGACATTACATGGAATAAAAAAGAATCCGTAAAAAAATCACATCATAAGCGGGTCATGTAAGACAGAAACAAACATCAGGGGGTTTTGGTATAATCATCGATAAGTGGAGGTGTTTTCTATAATTTAGCCTAAGTTCAGAAGGATTTTCATAATTTATCTTATTAATAATGATTATTGTTCTTTTACGTCTTAACGTTTGTTTATACCCTTATAATATTTTAAATAATTTTAATGTCAGTTTGATAATACAATTAATATTAATTTCTAATATATTTAATATGTGTTTTTTTATGGTTCAACTACCACACATAAGAAATTTGATATAAAGGTTCGAGATTGAATATATATAAATGTTCTTTTTTATACTAAATAATAGATCATTGCAAAAATAATTGTTGCAAAATCAGATGATTAATATTACCATTAGAATTATAATTATAATTATAATTAAGATTCTTTGAATTAGTATTAGAATTAATACTAGAAATAGGATTCAGATTGTAATTAGGATTAATATAATATTAGGATTATGATTAATATTAGTATTAGAATTATAATTAAGATTATGATTATGCTTAGTACGATAATTAATGACATGCATTAGTATTAGGATTATGATTAACATTAGGATTGGGATTAGAATTATAATTAAGATTAGAATTAGAATTAACATTAGCATTATTAGTATTAAAATTATTAGGCTTATGATTAGTGTTAGGAATAGGATTATGGTTAGGATTACGATTAGAACTATTATTAGTGCTATGAATAGAATTAGGAATACGATAAGGATTTGGATAATATTATAATTACAATCATAATTAGCATTAGCATAATAATTAGCTTATCTAGATTAGCATTAGCATCAAAATTAGTATTAGCATTAACATTAATAATATTAACATATTAGTATTATTAATAGTATTAATAATAGTATCAGTGTTAATATTAGTATTAGTAATAGTATTAGTATTGGCATTAGTATTAGTATTAGTATTAGTATTAGTATTAGTATTAGTATTAGTATTAGTATTAGTATTAGTATTAGTATTAGTATTAGTATTAGTATTAGTATTAGTATTAGTATTAATATTAGTATAAGCATATGTATCAATATTATTATAGGTATCAGTATAAGTATCAGTATCAATACCACAATATGTATCAATACCAATATCAGTACCAGTATCAGTATCATTATTAGTATCGGTATCAATATCGGTATCAATATCAATATCAATATCAGTATCAGTATATATATATATATATATATATATATATATATATATCATAATTAAAATTAATTTTAGCATTTCTAATAGTATTAGTAATAATATTAGTATCAATATTAGTATTAATATTACTATTAGTAATGGTAATAGTATTAGTACTAATATTAGTATTAATATCAGTATAAGTATCCGTGTCAGTATTAGTATCGGTATCAGTACTAATATCAGTATAAATATCAGTATCGGTATTAGTATCAGTATCAGTATATGTATCAGTATCGGTATCAGTTTCAGTATCAAAATCAGTATGAATATCAATATTAGTATCAATATTAGTATCAATTTCAGTATCAGTATCATTATCAATATCAGTATCAGTATCAATATCAATATTAATATTAGTATTAGTATTATTAGTATAATATTAGTATTAATATAGTATTTTTATCAGCATCAATATTAGTATGAGTAACAATATTAGCATCAACATTGTAATAGTATTAATATTAATATTAATATTAATATTACTATGAGTATCGATATGACTATCAACATCAATATCAATATTAACATCAGTATCAGTATCAATATATGTATTAGTGTCAGTATCAATATCAATATCAGTATCAGTATCAGTATCAATATCAGTATCAGTATCAATATCAGTATCAGTATTTGTATCAATATCAGTAAGTATTAGTATTACTATTAGTATTAATATTAGTATTAGTATTAGTATTAGTATTAGTATTAGTATTAGTATTAGTATTAGTATTAGTATTAGTATTAGTATTAGTATTAGTATTAGTATTAGTATTAGTATTAGTATTAGTATTAAGATTAGTATTAGGATTAGAATTAATATCAGTATGAGTACCCGTATTAGTACGAGTATAAGTATTAGTATAAGTATCAATATTAATATCAGTAGTACTATTATCATTACTATCAATATTAGTATTATTATTAGTATTAGTATTAATATTAGTATTAATATTGATATTAGTATTAGTATTAAAATTAGTATAATATTGGTATTAGTATTAGTATTATAGTATTAGTATTAGTATTAGTATTAGTATTAGTATTAATATTAATATTAATATTAGTATTAGTATTAGTATAAGTATTAGTATCAATATTGGTATTATTATTGGTATTGGCGTACACATCTTATCTCTTTTGCAATATTTATAAGTTGTGTTGTTGTTTAAGTCACTAATTTAATGTTGTTAGTGATAAACTTGCAGGTTATTTGAATATCTATTATGTTACCTCTATGCTACTGTGTTTGTTGTTAAGTTAGTTATTTTGCTGAGGATTCACATGGTGTAATAGATTGCATTCCATGAAATAGAGTTATACCATATGTTTTAAATTATTTCACTTAATCTCCATATCGTGTTTTGCGCCATTCGCGTATTTTTCTTTGCAATATTTAATTGAATTTCATATGTTATAACTCTGAATTAAGAGATACTTTTTTTTATTTCCTTTCATTTTGTTTTACTTGAATTGCTGTTGTTATAAAAAGATATTCGTTTATATATTATTATTTTCTCATTTTGAAACTGATATCCGTGCAACGCACGGGTGAAGTACTAGTAATATAAATAAAAGAGAAGCCTAATGATTCATGAGCTTACATACATACGTCATGCACACGTGTCTGTAGATTGGTGTTTCAATAGTTGCTCATGGTGTTGCTATTTGAATCTGAATTGTGATTTATCGTTTATTATCTGGTGCATCTGATAATCTGATGAGAATGGCATATTATAGTTGTGTATATAATAAAAGTGCCTATATATTTTTGGTTACATTCATCAATGTAAATATTTTATGAATAAATTAATATTAAATTGATGATATGTTGTAACTTGTAACGGCTTTAGAATTAGGGTTAAATACAGTTTACGCCCCTAATGTATAATCTCTGTAACACTTACGCTCTTAAAGTTTCATTTGTAACATTTACCCCCTCAAGCACAATTTAATATGTATTTTAAATTCCAATACCTTAAAATATTATCTCTCTCTCTCTCTCTCTCTCTCTCTCTCTCTCTCTCTCTCTCTCTCTCTCTCTCTAGCAATATCTTGCTATACTGTTATAGTAGAGAAAGAGAGAGAAAGAGAGAACAATCAACAATGAACAATCTAATTTCCATCAATTTAATATATTTTTTCTTCTATCTAATTATTACAGTGATCATCTCATCAGCTCCGATGAACAAAACAACCGCCGCCGTGGAACCCGCCTGCAAGACCCACTGCGGTCCGCTGGAAATCAAATACCCCTTCGGCACCGGCCACGGGTGCGGCTCCCCGCGCTTCCACCCCTACGTCACCTGCTCCTCCGCCGCCGGCAGCGGCGGTGAAGGAGAGCTCCGCCTCACCACACACACGGGGTCGTACCAAATAACCTCAATATCCTACTCCGACTCAGTTCTGACCGTCGCGCCGCCGTGCATGTCGAACTGCACATCCATGCAGCCTTCTCCGGCCAACTTCGGGCTGGACTGGGCCGGCCCTTTTCAGCTCGGGCCGTCAACTTTCATCCTTTTAGCATGCTCGCCGGAAACCTACTCCATAACCGTGAAGGGAAACCCCATATGCGACCCTTCTTCGCTCTACCTCTGCGCGGAAATCTACACCTGCCCTGGCGTGGTGGCGCTCGGGCTGCCGCTGTTTCCTCCG